TACGTACCTAATCAGTATTGATTTTACATTTTTACTTTTTGAAATTTTATTAAAGTGAAAAACCGAACACTAACACATACACGGGTTTTACATACTGATACGTTCACAAATCCCCAAAAACTAAAACGTACAAATGTAGATAAAATATACGACCGCGATAAGGCGACAAACCAAGAACGCGATAGCTAAGTTCACCGTAGTGATTGGGACTAATGACTTACGAGTTCCCACAAAATAACAGTTTGTTTGTGCAAAACCTGAAATATTATTGTTTCTACTACATACAACTACATACAACTACATACAACTTATAAGTTATACTGAGGTGGAGTGATACAGTTAATTTTAATTTTTTTTTTTGTTATATTTATTTAACTTGTACAATCTGTATAAAATATATTTACAATAAGCACAATAGATGAAGGAATACATAATAATTAATAGGTCATGGCTTGATTGAAGAAGCTATTCAATAAAAAAAAATATTAGAAATCAAAATTTTTTTTTATAAGCATTTAAAGTTCGAATTTTGACAAAATAGGTAAAAATCACGAAAATATACTAATTATTTTGAGTTAGAAATTCATAAAAATTTTTTTTTCATATCTAAGATATGAAAATGTAAAACAAGATTCTTCATAAGTTTGTCTACCTTTATCAAATAAAAAATATCTACCGGAAAGTCAAATAAAATTTTTATGAGCGTTTGAAGACGACATTTTTACAACATTGGATATTCACTCGATTTCTCATGTAGAGATTTCTTTATTTTGTTGTAATTCAAAAACGAATAACTGTAGATATGTGAAATTTCGACTTAATGTTTATATTTTCTATACATCATTAAATTTTCAAAATATTTTGACTTATTTTGAGCTGTTTGCGAACATTTTCAGTTTCCAATTATTTTAGTTTTTTTTTTATATAAAGGGCAATACAATTTTATTTGTTGGGCCAAACGCATAAAAATTGAATACAAGGCTCCTGATATATTGTTACAATAGCGATTGAAAAATATTAAAAGTGCATAGGCACAATTTTTTTTTTACAAGCATTTAAAGTTTGAATTTTGACAAAATTTATCAAATTTAAAATTTAAAATTATTTGGTAGTCAAAAACTTATAAAATGTTCAACTTTTATAGCTAAGGATTGAAAATTTAAAACAAGGTTCCACGTAAATAGATTATAATATATTAATAACTTTATTAACAATAATATCAAATATACTTCGCTCAGAATCGTTTTTCTTATACAATGATGTTATATCATTGGATTCAAATTCCAACCTTTTTTTGTATTTTTTTTTTTTTAAATCAGCATGTTATTATTATACCTCGTGAGTCCTGGTAACCAAATTAATTATTTTAATGTAGTTGCCCTGTTATATTTATGATTATTTGGCTCTTTTCCTCGTGGTGAGAAAATATATTATTCTGTAAACTAACCAAATTATATTATTTTAAATTGTAATGCCATGCTAAAATTATTATTATTATTATTAAAAATGCAAAATACAACCAACATTATGATTTAACCACCTATTCTCTTATTATTATTAATATTATTTTATTATAGTTTTGATTATCTAAACTATATAGAGCCTATAAGTTCCACTGACTTGCCCTTAGGGTCAACACGCCTCTTATAGGTCATGAGTTAAGCGTTCCACTTGATTCATGGGTGGAAAGTAGTGCAAAGGTAGTAAAATACTAGAAATCTCACAATGTATTATATGCTTAATACTCGCAACAAAACCGGTTTGTAACTAACTAATAAGTTTTCTTTAGGTAATGTAAAATGTTTAGAGCGCAATTGGTATATCGACCCTAAAATGTTTAGAGCGCAATTGGTATATGAAAAGGTAATTTTAAGTGCAATTGGTAAACTCCCCATATTTTGAATCTTTTTTGAATGCCCTTTCGATTAAAAATGTTTTTGAAAATATTATTATTGGTGATCATTTCGAAATAGCCTTACTAAGTACACAGCCAAATAGGAGGTAATATCGTGAATATATCGTATACATTATTGATATCGTATTATTTTTCTGGCGCTTAAGTCCCCCGCTAGTCGCACTTGGGTAGTAAATATTCAAAATGTTAATTGAACGCCCTTTCCGTTAAAAATTCTTAGGAAAACATATTTTTTGGTATTTAAGGCCAAAAAATCCCTAAAAAATATACTAATAATTTTGAATCTACGTTGGTCACCCTTTCGAGTTAAAATGGTTTGGAATACATACATTTCCGAGTTCGTTTTGAAAAATTAATCATTATGAATCATAACGCAGTACCTACACATCATTATGAAAATGTAATAAATATGACACGGTACGCAGTGGCAACCAGTACAAAGTACAGGTACCGCAGCGACCTGTCTGCGCTTTTGACAACCACCACCAAGGGCTACGAGCGCGACATCGCCAACTCTCCCACCACGCCACAGTGGCAAGGCGGGACGGGAAGGCGAGTCTCGCAAGACGAGTACCTGCCGCCGGCGGCTCGTTCTCCCTCGACCAACAACCATTCGTATACATACACTTAGGCCGTAAACCTACGCACAGAAAATCTCCAACGCGACCACGTTGTGCGATTCTGTTACCTTTGTTTTTTCTGTTATATTTGTCAAATAAACGTCCCAAGTGGACATTGTTATTCATCTTCGGACGTGTTGTCACTAAATTCCACTATTGTGGATATCTCCCTCACAATACCTCCATACCCCATCGAAACGGGCATACCGCGGACACCAAATCACCACCGCCGTAGCCGCGTCAATTGGCTCCCCGCAGAGGAATCGTCGCCTCAAGTCAGCGCAAAGGTAAGAGTTTTTACGCTGACACATACCTCGGATTAATTGCTTATATTATAAATTTAGTATTAAGATATTTAACCAGGATTGTGTCTTCACGCTAGCTATACTCTATTCAGTTTAAGTTGACCCACTCGTCAGACGAAAACTGGTCGCGGCCGCGCAGGCCGGTCCGTCTTTGGAGCGCTAGTAGTGATCGTCGACAATAGCAGCTACCTACTACGACGAGCACTGCCGATCGCCGAACACCGATGACCAATAACAGACCGCCGGTCGCCTACTCGGGAGGTCTGAATGTTCCGGCGGCTCAGTATGCATGCACTAAAGTGGGTCAACTTAAACTGAATAGAGTATAGGATTCCCAAGTCAGAATTACGTAACACAGTATTTTAGTACGTAAAGGGTAAAACCACGCGAACCGAGAATAAACGTGGGACGGCTGTGGGAAGCGGTTACATAGCGTACTGCCACTCCGCCCAACGCTTACCTTTCGTCCCGCGGCACTACCGCCGATAACAACAGAGCGCGCAGGCCAAAAACCGGTTCAGCCACTGCAGCCGACAGCTGCCGCCGCCGAGGTCGTTGACCCAGTACCGCTATTTTTGGTACGCAACGGCTGCACCGTCGACAGCTGATCTGTTTTTGCAATCGTAAATAGTAAATATAAATTATCGTAGCTATCGCGCGAAATTTAAACAAAAAATGCCACAAACGAACGACTCACAATCGTTCGAGGCACGTTTAAGGGCGCTTGAGGCAAGCATGACACGTCTTTTTAATGAAACTCGTCAGGCAGCAGCACAGCAGCCACACAACAACGCTGTCCCGCGGTTACACAACCACCCGTCACCTGAACAGATAACAACTCGTACACACGAGGATTACCAGTCAGGCAGGTCTTATGGGTACAATGACGGCGGTACTCAACAGAGCGCTGGCCACATTGACGCCGCGAAAAACGGAACATTTTTCACACGCGAAACACATAACGACTATACGGGGCAAACAAATGGCGCACCGCAGTACGCGCCATACACACACACGCACGCACAAGAGTAGGTACCAAACGGGTACTAAGTAGGGTACTAATACCATACGACGATTTTCGCGCCGCAAGGTCCTCATTACCCGAGTACACAGGAGCAAGGGCCGAGGACCCCGTAAGGTATAAAGCTAATACCGAATCGATATTAGTGCAGGTACGTATACACCCCACGGCGTGGTGTAGGGCAGTCGAGCCACAACTAAAAGGAACGGCGAGTACATGGTACACGTCTATCAAGGCACTCGACCTATCCTGGGAGGAGTTAAGGGTAGAATTTTTAGAAAATTTCAATAATTCCGAAATTCAATCTCAATTGCTCGCCGACATCGTGTCAACACGACAAACGGCTAAACAATCACTTACGGAATTTGTGCTGATTAAAAACCAGTTAGCGCGCCGTGTAAATATAGGCCTATCCGAGCCGGAATTGGTGGGTATTATCGCCGGACTAACGCGCGACACGTTCCGTACGCACATACGTCTACACGTAGACGTTTTGAACCCGGTAACGGACACCATAAACCCCCCACCATCCAGGTTGGAAGGAGACGTACTGGGCGGTCCGACAACGGTACTATTGGAAAGGTCAAAAAAATGACGTCAGGTTATATGTCGGTGCGTGCCACGTATGTGCGTGCACGAAACCACTAAACTCACGTCCCACCGACCCAATGCAACCTAGAACCCCCCTGGCAACCATGGGAAGCTATCAGTGTCGATCTCATTGGCCCTACCCCCGCTCTGGTAAGGGAAAATCGTACATACTGGTAGCAACCGACTGTTTTAGTAGGTGGACCGAGGCTTACCCCTTAGGAACAGCAACCTCCAAAACAATAATCGAAACGTTAGAGCGCGAGTTCTTTTCGCGTTTCGGTTACCCACGCGTGTGTCGGTATCATGTCTTTACGCCGAAGGTATCAACGCCGACGGTATCTACGCCGACGGCATTTATACGGCATATATACGGGTTACGCAAGTAAAACCGACCAGTGAGATTTACCATTAAGCAGCTTAAACCGCAGGTAAACCACGAACGCTCATTGGTCGGTTTTACCTGCGTAATCCGTATATATACAGGTGCCGGTTTAATGATCGGTCAGTTCGATTCTAACATTCGGTCTTGTAAGAAGTCAAAAGCAACCATGCCACTTGAATTTGTTTTAAGCCAGAAGGGCAACCAACAGTTGATCAATAAAGATTTTGTGTATACCACCGTCAAAATCAGAGAAGACAAACACATTTGGAAATGTGTTCATTATAATAGACACAAGTGTCTGGGGCGAGTATGGACAGCTGAAGACATTGTCATTTATGAAAATGACAAGCATAACCATGTCCCAGATGTGGCTGAAATCCGAGTCAAGGAAGTAATGGCCTCAATTAAACAAAAAGCTGAAACGGTGATGGATACACCACAGCAAAATTTAGCCTCTGTTACGTCGAGTATCCCAGCGGCAGTAGCAGGAATTCTCCCACCAGTCGCCGGGATAAAACGAAATATCCTTAAAGCAAGACAAAAGGCAGCGGGAGCTATGTAATGTCCCACTAACATGCGTGATTTACTGATTCCCGACAAATACACTTATACGGTGGCTGGAGATAAATTTCTTCAATTCGACAGCGGTGTTTCAGATAATAGAATTATTATCTTTAGCACGAAAAGAATTTGGATTTGATGGCGACATGTGACCATTGGTACGCTGATGGTACATTTAAAACGTCACCGCCATTGTTTAAGCAAATTTTTACAATACACGCGATTAAGTATAATAACGTTCTGCCAACGGTTTACGCACTGTTTCCGGATAAATTTCAAGATACGTATTCGCGTGTATTGGATCAACTGAAGCTGCTTAAACCAGGGCTGTCTCCAGTCAGTGTTATGACTGATCTTGAAAATGCCCAGATAAACGCTTTTTCGCATAATTTTCCAGACATCAGGAACAGAGGTTGATTTTTTCACTTCAGTATTGACTGAAATTTGGAGAAAAATTCAGACAATCGCTGGCATTCAATCCAAATACGAGGATAAGGATGATCCGGACTTTGCATCGAACGTGCGAAAGTTGGCCGCTCTTGCATTTGTTCCAGAGCCCGACGTAGTTGATTGTTTTGAAAGACTCCTCCGGACAAAATTTTATACGGATAACGAAGACCTGATGTCAGATTTGGTAGATTATTTTGAGTCCACGCGGATTGGAAAGCCCCGACGAACCGGCCTTGGAAGAATGCTTCCTAAATTTAAGCTTAGCCTCTGAAATTGTTACGAGGCATCGTTGAATGATCTACCCAAAACTAACAACGCCGTTGAAGGCTGCCATCGAGGATTCAGCTCTCTTTTAGAAGCAAATCATCCATCTATTTGGAAATTCATTGAGGGTCTGCAAAATCAGCAGAGCCTAAATTAATTCCAAATCGACCAGTACATTGCTGGATTACCACCAGCACAGGGACGACGGTGTTATCGAGACACAGCATTGCGAATTAAAGAAATCGTCGAAGACTATAGGAATCGCGACACCTCCGATTATTTGCAGGGAATTGCTCATAATTTTCAATTCCAATCTTGCTAAATGGCCAAGTTTAGGGGGCACTCGTCGTTTTAAAAAATGTCCTTTTTAGGGCATAAAAAGGCTCTTTCCTGAGCCAAAAAAATATTTATTATTAAATCAATTATCATGTCAAAATCATTAAGGAATACGTTTCATCCGATGGAGAAACCATTTACTCAAATGTTTTTTTATACTTCACATATTCGTAGAACATTTTTAAACTTTATTCATTTAAAAAATATAACAAATATCAAATTTGACTTTATCGAATTGTATGAAGAGTAAGTCATATTATCATTATTATGATTTTTTTTTTTTTTTAACTGCCTAAGGCATCTTTATTTAAACGACCATAAGTCTTTATAAATATAATACATTGTGGGTGAATACAGTATAATAACAGTAATACATAAGTAGTATTATACAATAATAATTACTTATATATACATATATATATTATACAAGAACATGTTTGGGGTTGTACCTCCACCGAGATAGCCCCTTTTCTTAGCCTAAGTTAATTAAACTAAGTCATATGGCTCCAGACGTTTGAGGCGCCTAATGTCTTGCGAATTGTGAAGTAGTTGTTTAGCAGTTGCATTTGGGTGCAACTCAAGTTTTTTCGCATGTTTATTGGCAAACTTTTTAATTTCGTCCTCGATGGATGGTATATTCAAGTCTCAATGGATGATTTCATTCCTGTCGAACCGGTATGCTGCGAAAATGGTACCTACGAAGGGAAATATTCTGACAGCGTTGAATGACTTCGATGTTGGATTTGCTGGCACAGCCCCACAGTTGTATGCCATAAGTCCAGATCTTTTTGATAATAGCTACATATAGAAGCCGTTTGTTTGCTAGGTCTAGTGTGGAATGTCTACCAACTAGCCAGTACAGCTTGCGCATTTTTTCTTTTATTTGCAATTTTTTCTGGTGGACATAATGTTTCCAATTAAAGCGAGAATCAAGGTGCATACCCAAGTATTTGGCTGAATCTTTTTGTGGGATTGTCATGTGATCCAGCGACACTTGGAGATTTTTGGTTTTACGTAGAGTACGTTTGTGACACGATGAACTTGATCAATAGTAGAATGTTTGTTCCGAAACCCATACTGATGATCTAGTATGAGGTGCCTTTCTTCTATAAGTGGTTTTAAACGTTTAGGAAGAAGCTTTTCAAAGAGTTTCGACATACTTGGGAGAAGTGATATTGGTCTGTATGAGGTAGCTCGTTCTGGTGGCTTACTGGGTTTCAGTAGCATAATCACTTGTGCCTTTTTCCATTGCTTAGGAAAATATTCCAGTCGTAGGATTGCATTGTATATATGTGTTAAAAGGATTATCGCTTTCTTCGGTAGCTCTTTAAGTATTCGCGTCAAGATTGATCTAGTCAAAACCAGGTGCCTTTTTTGGGTTGATGTTGTTATCAATTTCATAGGCAACTTCTAGAGGAGTAAAAACCCGTATTTTTTCTCTTGTTTCATTGAGTGGTTGACATTGTATCATATCAAGTTCGGAAGCGATATTATTTGGTTGAAATACACTCTCAAGATGTTGAGCGTATACTTCGGCTTTATCTTTCTCACTGCGTGCCCAAGTACCGTCTACTTTACGGATAGGTGGAACATGTTCACGAGGTCTTTTAATGCGTCTTGTAGCTTTCCACAGAGAGTAATTTGTATCGTCCGTTGCAGATAGGCCACTCAGATAAGATTTGAATGTTTTGTTTTTCATTTCGTTGATTTTCTCACGTAAAATTTTACTAATACGATTCCATTTGGTTTTATCCGCTGGATGTCGCGTTCTATGCCAGGTTCTTCTCGCCTTACGCTTTTGTTGAACTAGTTCTCTTATTTCAATTGGATAAATGGTCTCCCGATTAATCCCTTCATGAATTATGGGTGTGGCCACTCTTGCTGCCTCAGCAACGATATTAGTTAATTTTTGCACTACCGTATCAATGTCTGATGATGTTTTTAGCTTAACTGAAAGAGTGATGGTTTCTTCAAGAGCACTCCTAAAGAGATCCGAATCAGTTCTTTTGTTTGTAAGAAAGATTTTTCTTTCTTTCATTATGACATTTGAGCTTAGTGACACGGGGATATGATCAGAAGATAGTTCTATTACTCCTTCAGCTTCAACATAGTTAGAATTTTACTTAATTTTCTTAACTTTTTCATACTGGATGATGTCTATTTTATATACCTAAACCTGTGTAAACCAGACACCTAATAGGAGGTAGGCGCATTACTTCATGGCCATTGTCTAACGCAAGTATTTCTTTTCGCTCGGAATTAAGGCTTTAATTTTTTGGTAAAGTTCTCTTAATGTTTCAAAGTCAAGTTAAGGAAAAAAGGTCCCTAATGCAATGTAAAATACGATAAGCCACACGATGAAGGATAAAAGAGTGGATCGGAATTATTTGCACGAAGTTGTGAATGATTTATTTGAAACAAAAACCAACATTTTGGAATCAAATAATGGGCAAGAAATACTTAATAGTATTATCACTGTTAATACAACAAATGATTTTGAAAAAAATTATAGAAATTAAGTCATTGGGCTGAATACCTAGAATATTGGAATGTTCGTGTATAAAAATTATTTGGTGGCCCGTGGCCCAGGGAATTTTTTTGCACTACACGAGAATGTTCAAGGCATTCCGATAATATTTTATATAATATAAATTGGAAAATTAAAATCTTAGTACTTGAACGTCATATTATCTAAGGTCCTACGTTTGTCGATGCATAAAATATGCCTGCTGAAATTTAAATTTAAATGAATCTTAATACTTCAATATTATGTTCTCTCGAGTTACGTTCTGTCGATGTAGAAAATACGCTAATGAGCCAAGTTTATTATTTAGGTAAATTGAGTCTTAACTCATCTAATTGAACACAACTGGCATCAATACATACAACTTACATGAACTTACCGAACCAGACTTAAATGCAATCTGATAAATCGATAATATGAGCCATCAGGTAAAATAACATTTTTATTAATTGATTTTTTGTATATATAAAATTGTGGCATAATTCTAGTTTAGCAACCTATCGATTTTTAAAAATTTTTTTTTCCAAAATGTGTGTTTTAGGGTGCTTTATAAGAATGTAAAAAAAAAAAGCCCGGACAAACTTAGTTTTGAAGTTATTGATCAAAAACTTCAAAAACTTCATTTTTTCGTTACGCGCATTTTTAAAAAAAAAAAATACTTAGAATTGAATATTATTAGATTTTTTTTTTCGAAATGTGTGGTTTTTAACGCTTAATAGATTGGTAAAATCAAAACTTACCTAACATACTTACTTTTGAAGTTTTTGCACGTAAACATTGAAAAATACCATTTTCAAAATTAATAATAAATCCTTTCTAACATTAGCTGAAAATCAGTTTTTTTAATATTTTTTTTTAAAAATATATACAGTTTTAGTTGGAAAAGTTTTTAGTGAAGTCAGAATTGTGCTATCTGGCTTAGTTTTAGAGTTACAGGTATTAAAAGTTGCCTTATTTATGAAAAAATGTAATACAGGTAAACTACAGGTAGTTACAATTATATTATTTTATAAAGCTAATATAATAAATTATTATTGGTATTTACCAAAATAGTAGCATCATTAATGGTGGAACACAAACACAAATCCATAATATTAAGATTAAATTCATCATATTAAATATATACAAATAATGTGTATTTAATTATCATAATATCAAGAAAAAAAAAAGATAAAATATTATAGATAGGTACTATTTTGTCCGATAGCAAAATGCATGATCGTCATTACGATCGATTACTTAGTCGAGTTAAACTAAAGTATTTTGCTGTTCAGTTTTAATTTTATTTTGTTAAAAATTTAAAATGACTTCGATCATTGAAATTTATGAAATATTTGAACATAAAACGAGTGGCCATCTGCCCATGTCGGTTATAAGTGTTTTACAGTCCTGGGGCCTTATTGCAAAAAATAATGTCATAAAATGTAATAAAGGACACTTTTTAGAATTGTGTCCTAGCACAGCTTATTGTGACGGTTTCGTTTGGCGATGCAAACAAACATATATCAACAGCAGCAAAAAGAAAGTGAAGTGCGATTTTTACCAATCAATCCGAAAGTGCACTTTTTTTTCAAAGTCCCACTTTTCTATATATCAAATTGTGACATTCGCGTATTTGTGGACCGAAAAAGTGTCACTAGAATTTATTCGTAATCAACTTAAAATAGCTCGGCAATCATCTGTTGATTGGGCCTCGTTCCACCGAGAAGTCGTATTTGACGGTATGATACTACGACACCAAAAAATCGGTAAGTAGAAGATTAAGTACTCAATTTAGTTTAAACAGTCCGAGCGAGCATGGAAATTAGCATGTGAGTGACCCCGCTCGGTGGCTCGGTGCAACAAAAATGCAAATTTTCTTAACCCTGTGACCCACTTGGGGAGGTGTTGCACAGCAAGCTGGGGGATATTTTCGTTTTTAATTGTCCGAGTGAGCGCAGCGAGGGAGTGACCCCGCTCGGTGACTCGGTGCAACAAAAATGCAATTTAAAAAATACTCTGTATGTAGGTGGACCGGGGTTAATTGTTGAAATTGATGAATCCAAATTCGGAAGGCGAAAATACCACAGAGGACATCGCGTTGAAGGCCAGTGGGTATTTGGTGGAGTTGAACGCGAAACGGGTCGTTGTTTTCTCGTACCGGTAGAGAAGCGTGACAAAGACACGTTACTCACTATTATTAAAGAATGGATTTTGCCAGGAACATTAATAATCAGTGATTGGAAGGTAAGTTGGAAGGTAAGTTCGTGTTTTAATTGATTTAACTCAACTGTGTTAAATTTCAATGGGTTCAATGTTTTTAGAGTTATAACTGTTTAAAAGACGAAGGGTATAGTCATTTGACAGTTAACCATTCCATAGAGTTTAAGAACCCGGAAAATGGCGCACACACCAATAACGTCGAAGGAATGTGGCGTCATGCTAAAGCTTCCATGACACAGTACTCCAGGAAAAAACATTTTTATGCAGGTTATTTGGCCAAATATATGTTCCTAAAGGTTTGTCGTTCTTCGGGCCTAAACCCTTTGGTTGAATTTTTCAAACTTGCGGCACAAGTGTATGACCCAAATGGGCAAACTTTAGACACATAAATAACACCAAATAATTCTGATTTGGGTTCCGACGACGACGAAGAAAATGACTTTTTTTTAATTAAAATTGTACCTATCTTCTTAAGTTTTATAAATAAAATTGTAACTACCTGTTTACCTGTATTACATTTTTTCATAAATAAGGCAACTTTTAATACCTGTAACTCTAAAACTAAGCCAGATAGCACAATTCTGACTTCACTAAAGACTTTTCCAACTAAAACTGTGTATATTTAAAAAAAAAAAATATTAAAAAAACTGATTTTCAGCTAATTTTAGAAAGGATTTATTATTAATTTTGAAAATGGTATTTTTCAATGTTTACGTGCAAAAACTTCAAAAGTAAGTATGTTAGGTAAGTTTTGATTTTACCAATCTATTAAGCGTTAAAAACCACACATTTCGAAAAAAATCGATAGGTTGCTAAACTAGAATCGTTACGAAAAATTGACACCACCATTGATTCTGTAGAAACAAATTTGAAAATAATTTTCGATAGGATTGTAATGATGCAATTATATAGCAAATTATTTACATTTTACAACAATCATCTGCACGTGAGCCAAAAAGGTATAAGCATAAACTGCCATGATATCAGCCAATACAGATACAGAACGTACCCACGCAATATTAGTATTCATTATTATACTAGTAAACACAAATGTATTCGTAATACAGTGTAAAATAAACAAAACAACGATCAACATGTGTCTGTTCACAAGCCACAACTCCAGTAACATAAAATATTTACAGCGAAATCATACAAAAGTAGTTTGCTTAACTGCGTCTTAACAATTTATACGGTTTTATTTTTATTTTACAACAAAAAATAGTGTAGGGGAGAGGTGGCCACAGTGAGACACTCAAAATTATTTTTTAAATATTTTTTTTGTTTTAAGTAATAATCATTTGACAAGGTTATGGTATTATTTTAAATATTGTTGAGTATTAAAAAACATATTTATACATTCTAAAATGTACCTACATTTCAACCCGGAGACCTTTTTTTAAAAAAAGTCAAAGTGTCTCATTGTGACCTAGCCTTGTACACAATGAGACACGTCACGGGGCACTATGGTACATAATATAAAATAGGTATTTCAAATTTGGAGATTATTTTTAATATTTAAACTTTTGATTTCACAACACTTAAATAATATGATTAAACAATTAAAGATATTTTTATAACAAATTTTAAAATAATCAACACATTTATTTCACATTAAAAATCTTCAGTTTAGGTACTCATGATCACAATTAACTTCATCAGTCTTAATAGTTAAAATATAATTAGAAAAGAAATAACATAGTTTAAACATAGAAAAACAAAATTATTTTACATCTGACTAGGTAACTTTCCTACTTGACAGTCTTGTAATTACATTATAATATATATATTATATTATTTATTTGTCTCACTCTGTACTGTCTCACTGTATACCCATCTATTATTTTGCAGATTTTTCATAATTCTCGAATGAATATTTATGATAAACATTTGTGTATAGAACTAAATCATGCACAAGAAAAATATAATTTATATAGAACTTAAAATACGTACCTTTTAACAAAATTCGATGAAAAAATTTTTAAAAACGAACATCACATTTTTTACGTTTTGATAACAAAAAATAAAAATATTATGATAAAGTGATAGTATCGCTTTTGACGTGACCTTACGGTTAACCATTATGTTTATTATGATTTTATGAATCTTCTAGTTTCTCCATCTGGTGGTTAACTATTAAACTACTCGACTTACACTTAATGTATCACTGTGTCCCGTGTCTCACTGTGGCCACCTCTCCCCTATTGGGAAAATTAGACACGGAAAAAAAATTCACTAGAATACTAGAATGAGCACCACACGGCACGATCGTAAATTACTAAAATGAGTAAAGACGACATGACAGCGGACAACCGACCAATACAATATGATTGGGGTGAGCGAATGAGATGGAACGTTTCATATTAGACGCGTCGACGACACTAGCGCTGAGAGCGGTTTAAAACGCAGACAACATGGGAAAGTACATGAGTTGATTTTAGTGGAAACCGCATGGCTTAAATATACAAGGTTATTGCAAAAGTATCCCCACTGTATCATTTTTTTTATCACATTAGGAATTAAAATGGCAGCGTAAGGGGACGACCTATACTGGCTATACTATGAAATGTACTAATACATGCAGCATAGGAACCATTCTCGAAAATCACTCACACAGATTTAATATTGTATTATTCATAGACAACATAGTTATGATCTATGCTACATTTAAAAAAAAATTGTGGACGATCTTCGTTTCAACATAAACATCCATAATGTACCCCCAAAATCCCAGCAACTGGGTATCTATAAATAAACTTGACCACTCTTTCATAAGAACACACAGGCAACATATAACCCCCTATTTCTCGATAGGGAACCTAACCGTAGCAAGTCCCTCTGAAGCACATTTTACTTTGAGATTTAGTGAACTCTCTACCATCTTAGAGTCCATTAATATAAAATGTAAATATATACGTGAACTCTTGATATTTTGAAAATTTTTTCTCAGAAATAGCAGTGTTATATGTTGTTTTAATTTAATTTTCTGCAGTTAAATAAATAAACTTTTTATTGATATTTATATGAAATTCAACTGTTGCTTCACATCCTTTAAACAACGGCTCTTTCAAATATAAATGTGTATCTCCAGCACTATCACTAAACATAATTATTAATGGTATTATACGCCTAAAAAAGTAATCAATACCAATGATAAGAATTAAGTATCAAAATAGTATGTATATTAATTTATTATTTTATAAATGACAAGACTACTTTAAAAAATAATAACTCAGTTACAGTAAGTTATAATACAGTTTACAGATACAATACAAAATTAATAGTCGTACAAAAAAGCTTGTTACTTTGTGCAAAAGTAATGAAAGTAAGTAACAATTTCCTAATACTGACATTTTGTATAGCATTCATATAATACAATCATAATAAATATTGCAATTTTTGTAATATTGTAATAAAATGTTATTTATTGAATAAATTATTTTTATTTTTATTTATACATTATTCCATGCTCAAATTATAATACTAGATTTAAATTAAACAAACCTTATTATGCTGATTTACATAATAACAATATCTTTACCAACTAGATTCATAATATAATATGAGTACAGAAGGTATCTTTATTTATAAATGTAATAAAGTTATATTTAATATAATCAATAATAAATTGTATTCTAGATAATAGTGATGAATGCAATGACAGCGGTGAAGAATGGCATCCACAAAATAACAAAAATGATCCAATCTGATGGTGATAGTTTCATTGAGAAAAATAATTAAAATACTACACTATTACTCAGCGACAACGGAACTCCTCGTGAATGCGAGTATGGCGGTATTATAAAGGTAATATTTTTGCTGCCTCAGCACATCTTGCTTCATTGGCCTGACCTATATTAATAATTTACAATTAAAAATATTCCCACCTATATTACATATAATATTAAATAATATTATTTTGACGACTGTCTACAATATACGACAGTACATAAAAATATATAACATAATTTAACTGAAGAAGACCAAACTTTACTTCCTAATATTCAGAATTGTTGAAATATACAATTAATATTAGTATTTAACCATGTAAACACACGTGCATGTACAATGTCGTTTTCTATAGTGCGGTCCACGAAAAGTAGGCCGCGATCGACACGCCACTAGCTAGATGTCACATTTTGGCAAAATTGAGATTATTAATTGACCAATGTCATTAAAATTTGCTTATGTCACTCGTGTCAAAAGGGCAAATGTCTCTTACGCTGTATGACCAAATTAGATAAAGTTTATAAATGTAGAAGTTACTAACATTATGCTCAATGGAATATTATTATTGAAATATAAAAATGTTTAAATAAAAATGTTTGTTTAAAATTTTAGTTTTTGGCCAATGTCGAAACCAAAGCAATTGTCTTATTGTTTGTGGGTGGCCAATGTCAAACTGAAACGTACATATTTATTATTGAAAAAAAAAATGAGAGTCAGAATGAAATAAAAACAAATATAATGTTTAGAGTTCCAAAGTAAAATTAAAGATTGAACACCTGACGATTCATATTTCGTTATTTCGCCTTCTATTAAATGTTCAAGCTTTGTAGCAAACAAATAAACTTTTATTTATATTTAAAGAAAAAAACTAAAAAAATTGGAAACTGAAAATGTCCGTAAACAGCTCAAAACAAGTCAAAATATTTTGAAAATTTGTCCGTGTATTTGGTATGTCGTAAGTGTGTAAAACGAATACAACTAATGCATGGGTAGCGTCTTCTTAAGAGTTGAGTATTTATTTTATTTTAGCCAAATGCACACTCACCACCAAGATCAAAATAACGGGCAAAAATGTAAATGGATTACATTCGCTTCTATATTGTTCTATGGCGACACCAACCCGCGTCCGGAATGTCACGGCGTCTCCATGGACGTCGCGGCGTGCCGGGCTCTTTCTCCGGTAACCACTCTCCTCGAGGCCGCACGCGTCTCCGCTCACGCACCCGCTCGGGGCGCGCGAACCCTAGTCCTGATCCTCCGGGCCCACGATTACGTCGGTACAACCGACGACGCCCTAGTCTACGACCGCAGCACGACCGCCCTTCTTGTCTAAATTATCATGTTCTCTTCACCGCTTTTGATTCAATAAACTTCAACAAACTTAATAATTCAAATACAATGTGTTACCTATTCTCGCTTCTTCCTAACAATCAGCTCTCGATTTCGGGTAACCACAGATATAAAATACTAGATAGCTAACAAGGCATCGAACATTGAAGTTATCCGCCATATGCGTGTAGGTCAATGTTTACATAATTGTCTTATCAATACGACATGATAACAATCTGATGGTCAAAATACTATCTGACGATGAAAAAATTGAATAAGGATAATATATGTGTTTTCATTAAAAACAATTGCAATAGAAGTATATATTTTTTATATTTTTTTAATATTTTATAAAAAAAATTTATTCTGTGCGAATAATATCATGTTATCATACAGTATTGATAAGATAGTTATGTAAACATTGACCCACACGCATATGGTGGCTAACTTCAACATCGATATCCCTAATTTAGACAAGTTAGCTATCTAGTATTTTATATCTGTGCGGGTAACACACTTATAGCTGGCTACGAGGAGTACACAACAACACAACCTTATCAACACTTATATAATTACCCTCGCACGCCACATTGGTGACCTCGACGTGATATGAACACGCAACCTTCTGATCTGGAGTCAGCACCCACATTACCACGCCACACTGTTAGGTAGTTACGCAACGAGGCGCGATAACGAGATACTCTATACTCGGCCTGCTGTAGCCCGTGACTGATAGGAATACTTAATACTTTATGACTATGGCGTATATTGCTCCATTGTATATATAACAGTAAAATAAACTGACGGTGTTTTATAGTTGAGCACTTGAGCGTTAGATTTCTGAGCGTTCCTGAATAATATATACTTTACCTATTGGTTACTATACTTACTACTGGTAGTGCGTTATTAATGTTGGTACTGCTGGCCGCTGGGCATAGGTGCAATTTCAGTTATTTTGACTTGGAGTAATGGGGTCTATCATCCATATACACCAAACAGACCCTTGGGAGGCTCTGCCCCCCACGCCATCTCTAACAAGGTAATTAAAAATAGCGGATAAGCCGCGGTACAGTAGGTTACAATAGGTGGTTACATCATTGTATACGAAAAAGATATTCTTATAGTGGAGACGGTTTGTCGGCCTAGGATACTTTATATTTTGTATATAAAATATATATATATATATATATATATATTATATATTTGTTATTATTTCTACTGTAGCTGCAGGTAGGTATTGAATTAATATTATTTGCATATATTATATATCATATATATATAATATTATATACTTTAAAAATTTCATGTCCTCTCATGAATATAATATACTTATTTAAATTACAACAATATAACTAAAATCGTTGGTAGCAAAAAAATAATACACTTTCCATAAATTCTGTTTTTAAAATGCAAATAAATGCAATAAAAATTTGATTATACCTAAAGCTATTAAGACCTTACTTATAAGGTTTTATTTATTATTTTTTGACACTTAATGCTAGCATTAAGATTTTTTTTTTTTAATTATTACGATGGACGACGTGTAATACTTCGCTGCTTTTATCATACTATATAAATGATTATTTATTTTGAGAAAATATTTTTTTGTCGCCTAGCAAAAATTCCTTAAAAAATTCACTGGCATTGGTTGATATACTTGATACGGGAAAGAACATAAAATTAGAATTAGCGTTCAATATAAATTATTATTGAGTAAATGTTTGATATTCAATCTATAATATTATTATTAATCCAAGTAAGTTAAATAAATGTTAAATATTAATACTTATACAATTTAAAATATGTTTTAACTTTTAAATATTTGTTCTCAAGTGTTAATTAATTCTTATTAAATATTTCAATTTTAACATTAAAAATTAAATAACTATTATATGTTGGATAAAGTTTTAATTTTAAATATTTAAATTCCAATCAAAGTTAAACATTGATACAACCATTATCATTGACAAATGCTGTGTGGGCAGTAATCCAGAGTTATCATTTTTTCGGTTTCACCACGGGTTTATGTGTGAGAGTTAGTTAACCTGAGGTTAGCTTACGATTGGCCCATAAATTGGCCTTTTCCGGTGGCCTGTTAATGATAACATTTATTTTTCACTGATAACATTGATAAGCCTGGTAAAGTTGTTGGATCTATGTACGATGACGGATTCGTTTTTCAAATTTATTTCTGTATATGTGTTAAGTGTATTGTGTTTTTTAATTAATTGTATTAATATTATTTCATAATACATTAATACAAAATACAAATATGAGTTCTGTTTCAAATGAAGTAACAAAGAGGGCTAGGAATGTCAATTTCAGTAAGAGGGAAGAGGAGTTGCTCGTAGAATTGGTAACAGCTAACATTCATATTATTGAAAATAAAAAAACTGACGGTATTATGTGGAAGGAGAAAGAAGCCTGCTGGAAGAAACTGGTCATGGAATTCAATAGCCAAGCGCTATTAATTCCTCTCACCGTAAGTCAGCTTCAGTTAAAATATAAAAACATTAAAAAACTTGTACGAAAAAAAAGTGCTTCGATAAGGTAAGTGTGATCAATATTCCGGTTCTAACGGTTCATATCTCTCTTCATTATTGTTAATTTTGTTTAATTCAAGACTGGAACGTCTAAAGACAGGCGGTGGCAGTAATAATTCGATTGCTCTCAATGACACAGAAGAAAAGGTCAAGGATATGATGAAACTGTCTGTTGAAGGCATGCCTTCACAATTTGATTGTGACGGTGAAATTGATGATATGCCTTCAACTTACAATTATGCCATTGAAGTAGCTGATGGTAATATCATATTAATCATTTGCTGTATTTGCCTCCAGCTTCAAATAATATATGCAACTATACTGATTTTTCAGACGATTTTTCATTGATAGATTATCACAATGATGATTCTTCAGACATTGTGACTGGTAAGATCATGTTACATATTTTAAGGGCCAGTATTACAATCTCCGGTTAAGCGTAATCAAAGTGGAATCGAATATTGTAATACTGATCCTAATAGTAACAATTCAATTAGTTCATAATTTGTTTTTAATATAATGTATATACTTTTTTTTTCAGTCATGCCTAATGAAGTTCAACCTTTCCAAACCCCCACAAAGATCACTGAACCAGGTATGTTTACTAAAGTTTTTTTTTATTTCTTACACAATATTATACCCATACATAACGTTTTTAAAATTGGGCTAACTGAAAGACTTTATGCAAGCGTTTGTATGAGTGTAGGATGGAGTCACAACCTATGGCCACCTTAAGAATTTGTTTCTTTTGATATTTAATTTATACTTTATAAGTTGTTATAACACTTGTTAATAATTAGGAAATAATAAAATAACTTTACAAACTTAAAAAATATTAACTAAAAACATTGAATTTTAACAAATTACTAAGATATATTGTATACATTTATTGTATAGTATAGGAGCATATTGTTAAATTCTCAGTCTTACTTAAATTGTTCATTCACAATACCAGAAAAGACAAAAGGATATTGTCTATTCTTAAAATGTAACTCTGGCAATGGCAATTTGTAAACCAAATCATTCAAATCTACTACAGATATATCACTTTCAAATAATAGAAATTATCTATGTTCTTCATCAGAAGCTTAAAAGTATTGTAATTTTACTTCAATTGTAGAAACTACTTTAACTGTGGCTACATATGCATAACAATTCTTTTTCATCTACAGGCTTCAATTTTATTTTAGTAATTTTTAATTTTATTCCAGGCCCGACAATGAGAGAAAAGAGTGCTTCAGGAGCCCCTACTTGCAAGACTAATGTCGCAGCAAGTAGCAGCACCCACATTGGTATGTTACAGTAACCTTACCTAAACAAAACAATATAATATGTATGTATCTAATTTGATAACAAAAATGTTTACTCAAATGTACTTATTTCAGGTAAAACTGACAGTCGATGGAGTGTGGTGACTCCTCAACACCTGAAATCCAAAATAAGTACACCTCTCAAAACTCCTTACAGTGAGTTATCTATGCTATCTTAGCTAAACTTATTTCAAGCATCCCTCATTCAGAATATATGAATTTAATTTTGCATTTTTAGGCATTTTCAGTTATAAATGCATTTTTTTTTTTTTTTTAATGTAATTTTTTCATATTTTTACTTTATTTTATTCATATTACATATAATTTTTCTAATATTTGTCAAATTTAAAATAGAACATTTTTGCATTTTTAAAAATAATATTATGTTATTAATGAAGAGGTATTGTTATGATTTGATTTACTGCATAAATGATAGAAACAATAAATCATCAAACCGTAACTATATACATAGGTATTCATTTTAAACTTATTTTTTCAATTACTACAGTTTTTAAGGTCATCAACATCCTAATTTTGCAATGTTAAATTCTGTTATCATTCTTAAAAGAAATTAATGAAATTTTACACATTATATGTTTTCAGGAAAAAAGAAGAGTCGTACTGCCGAGGCAACGCATTTATTGCAGCATAAAAACGAGCTTGTGGAACTGCAGATTAAATGCTTAAGACAAGAGGTTGAAATAAACGATGTTAAAAAAAAGAACATTATATTAGAAGGGGAAAAATTGAAGTTGGAGATAGAAGTTTTAAAAAAAAAATTGCAATAATTGTTTATTTCATAACATGTTTAATTAAAAAATTGTTAATTATTAATAAAGTTTATTAAATTAAAATAAAGTAATAAAAAAATAAAAAAAGGTTATTCAAAATCTATATTTTAATTAGCATTTATTTTATTAGCAATAAGAAATTAAAAAACATTATTTTCGCCTGAATTCAGTCCGCCCCTGAGTATATTCTCACTGTAACATGGCAAAGTGATCATTGACCAGCCGATCTCTTTCTTGCCTACCCCTTGTTCCTGGCAAATTTACAATATGATCTTCTCTTAAATAAAGATTAACATCATTATTTAAATTGTTTTCCATCGGCTCATCATCTGGAAGTTCATCATGCATATCCAGGCAAATATTATGGAGAACAGCACATGCAACTATTATTGCTTGTGTATTATTCAACTCTACTGTTAATCCTTTGCTGAGAACAGGAAATCTCCTTTTCAGGACACCAAAACATCTACAACATTGCAATGAATAAATGTATAAATAATGTTGTACATAGTTTTCCTATAATTTATATTTTACCTTTCTATTACATTTCTTGTCCTGATGTGGCTCTCATTGTATAATTGCTGGCTTCGTGTTGTAGGGTTGAGTAGAGGAGTCATAAGGTAGGGCTTCACTTCATAGCCACCGTCACCTAAGAGGTAGCCTTTTATGACTCCTGTTTCAAATTTATGTTTGACATTTGAGTTATCAAAAATTATTTGATCGTGGCATGATCCTGGCCATCGAGCAACGATGTCCATAATTTTGAGCCATGGATTGCAAATGCATTGGGTATTGATGGAAAACCAACCTTTCCGGTTCCTAAATATTTCTGCATTATCTCCACCTATAAAAATTACCACAAACCATGGTTGAATAAAACATATCATAACAAATGGCAATAGTATTTATAAGTTATGCCTACCCGGTGACTGAATTTTTATGTGAGTGCAATCCACAGCTCCGACTACTCTAGGAAATCTACTGAGGCTATAAAATCCATTGATAACCCTCTTTTCATCAATATCATTTGATGGGAATGAAATGAAATTTGGCCTTTGCCTCGCTATTGCCCTGCAAACTTGGTGAACGTATCGACAGGCTGAGGATTCACTGACTCCAGCAAAGTCAGCAACACACAACAAAAATGACCCTGTGGCGAGATAACTCAGCATCATATACAACTTAGTAGGTGGTAATATTGCTCTGTTTCTGAAACAAAAATTAAATATACGGTACTATGTAATGAAAACAAAATGTTTTTTTCTGGAATTAAAGTCTACTTACCTTGTAGAAGGAGGAGATATTTCATGTTCTATTGATCTTAAAATTGTAGTAAACGTTGCTTTTGAAAGGCGAAATCGGTTTATAAAATCATGGTCATCATACAATTCAATGTAGTTGACCCTCTCATAAAAAATTTTGGGTCGCCGTTGCATCGCAATAACTTCGTCATCATTCTCGTTGTCGTCATCAAATAATATTCGACGGTACATAATTAATTCGTATAGAAACTTCAAAAACTCTTCACAATAGATGGAATAAATTCAAAGAAAAACGAACAGACACTTTTCAATTTTGATCAAAGCACAGATTAAAGGCAAAAGAAAAATGAAAACACGTTTTTAATATAGATAGTATAGGTACAAGTGTACAACACCCACTATCAATGGTTGTTTATATCACGGTAAACCGTGATTGTAACTAAGAGTTAGCTCTTAACACTCAGAAATATTGGGGGTTAAAATCTGGGAGTAAAGATTTTCATTAACTTGAAGTTACCACCTAACTCGAGGTCGTGAAATACGTTTTTCTGACTAACTCCGAGTTAGCAGTTACTCACACTTTAACTCTAGGTGGTGAAACCGGCCATTAATGAGTGTTGCGACAAATAAGACACGCATTTATAACGCATTCCATCGTGTATTATATGATGAGTATGTGGACTGCACCGGGCATGTGGAAGAAAATGCAGTCGCCATCGCCACCGAAAAACTAAAAGGTTAGTAAATTAATGCACATAAATGGTTAATACCAAGGCTGAGCATGTTAACGATATTTTTAACTCAGTTAAGTTAATAGTTAAAAGTTAATCCAAAATTGTCTATCAATTGAACTATCTATGTTTAAGTATTTCATATACTACTCAAATACTTTAAAAAGTATTTGGAATACTTTTCAAATACTTTTGGTTTTTAAAGTAGATTTCTAATGATTTATCGTAATATAGACACATAGTAGGTTTATAATAATTTTTATATTAATAAAATAATTAAAATAATTATTTTTAAAACTAAGTCTATAAAATAATAATAATGTATAAAACGAATATACAGAATTTTAAGTAATTTTATTTCAAACATAAAATGCATAGTGCCGGTAGACAAAATATTAATAATATGTGGGTATGATTAATAAATAATCAATATTTGTTGTAGCATTGACAAGATGAAATGGTTTTCCTTGTTTTTTTCGGTGTATATCAGTGAACATTTTTTAGTTTTATAACCGTGCACACCCTGCAATTCTTTTTTTTTCATTCTATATAATTGCCATTAGTTAAGAGGACGCAACCTGGATATTTTTATTAACAATTGTTGTCTCCGTCTTATAAGGCGTGCATAACATAGCGAAGTTACGCTCAGCAGATGACGTTTAGCTCAGTTAGTTTAAAATTCAGAGTGAATAATCGACCTATTATGAAACTATTGATGGTAAGAAGATTATCTGTTTGTCTTTTACGATTGTTCAGTTTTTTAGTGATTTATGAGCATTTTTAATTTACGATATATTATATACGCATAACATGCTAAAAATGTATGTATCGTAAAAAACAAACACACGAACACAGATAATGTTCTTACCATCAAGTTTCATAATAAGTCGAATCACCCTAATTTTTAAACTAACGGAGCTAAACGTCATCTAATTATAAATATAGTTTAAAAATTAGGAATAAGAAATTAATGTATTTAAGTAATTTTAACATTTATTGTTTTATTTTTAGTAAAAATGTAATTATGTACATTTAAACTATTACTCACATATAGTTACTATATGTTTACATCAAATATCTTTTTTGAAATGTAACAATATAATGCAAAATTTAAGATGATCTATATAAAAAATTATAATAATAACAACATATTATTATAAAGTGTAATAATATAACAATTTCATATTACTCACATAATATAGTTACTATACCTGTTTACATCAAATATCTTTTTTGAAATGTAACAATATAATGCATAATTTAAACATATTTGTATAAAAAAAAAATTATGATGATCTATATAAAAAAATATAATACCTAATAACGACATATTATTATAAAGTGTAATGATATAACAATTTCATAAAAAAAATTTACTCTATATTACACATCACTTAAAGCTATATATTTGAACTTGCAGCTGGTTCCACAATTTTTTTCGGGGCATGTCTCAAATAATTGTCTGTTACATTGTGGAATTTTTGTTCATCGACAGGAGTTCTTCTAAATCCAGATAATGTTTCTGTAACAATTTTTTAAACTATTAAAATACTATCTGTCATATTTATGTTTTAACTTACCATAAATCATCTCAAAAAGCTTAAGATCTATGAACTTCCTTTTAGTTTTGCCTTTATAACTAAATTCACTTAGAAGTTCATAGTTGAAACAGCTGTTTATAAGTTCTTTTATTGAAGCACTAAACGACGAGTTGCAACCAATTTTCACAAAAAGATAAGATTTCTGAAATGATCCATTCGATTAAATATATACAATTTTAAACAAATGAAGTTTTCGATAAAATAAAATATAAATGATTTACCAATTATAAAATTTATGTTATCTTCATTTGGTTCTGATAGATATTTTTCAACAATCTCTAACTCATTAGTTTTTACAGGAATAATATTTATCAATATTGACGGCCACTTCGGAATCGGCACCGCCAAAGCTCCAACTCTAGAGTCTGCCTTCATTATTACTTGCACCTTGTAGTCTAAATTTTCAATTGACTTACATATTTGACTATTGGATTTATTCAACGTTGTAAGCTGTATCATAATTTGTTGTTGAATGGACTTCTGAGATTTATTTTTTTGAATAATCAAAGATTTCAAATCTGAAATACTTCGACAACAGCAGCTTGGTAGCAAGCAAGTAACAACGACTAACGAGTGATGACTCGCTTAACCGCTCTTGAACACGACGGTACTCTGACTCTGCAGAACTGCACATTTTTTTCGAATATTTCGATCTTGTTTCGTTAATATTGTTTGCTTGTCTTAACCATACGCCGTGTATTTATCGTGCTGTCGCACGTAGCGGTCGTCCTTTAAAACTCTGACCATAAGTCATACCTACTGCCGATCTTATTCATGCTGTTGCACGTCGTCTTATAAAGCAGCGCGCACACCAGATCCGTTACGTCACGTCACGTCTCTATACGGTTTGGAGACGGTCGGAGACGTGATGTGACGGAACGTTAGCGGCACGCACACTAGATACGTCTAGGTTCCGTCTTGTTTGTGCTGCCGTCCTGATAATCGTCAGACTGTCGTCGTCATTCTACATTTTAAATTTTTGCTATAGCGTCGTGTGTATTTGGTTTTTTTTACAATAATTTTGTTACTCTACCTGTATTGCAATTTTAACATGGACTTTTCATCCGACGAGGAACTATTTATTATAGCGAGTATTGCAGAGGAGGAAGAGAAGGCGAAAAAAAAACGGCTATGGGTTCATAACATCAACAAAAAAAGAGACGAGCATGGAGAATTCCATACATTATTTCCAGACCTCCTTCAAGATGAGTCAAAATTTTTTAAATATTTTAGAATGAGTTCGCAAAAATTTTTTGAATTGCTTGAGATGCTGCCGCAACTACAAAAGCAAGACACAAATTTCAGACGCTGTATTCCACCGGACGAAAGATTGGCAATCACCCTGAAGTAAGTAAACATATATACATAATAATACATTCATAATTAAAAAAAAAAATGGTTAATTAATTTATTACTGTTTATTGAACACCTTGAACTTTCTTCAATATTTTTAAAAAAAATACTCATTTTTTAATTTTTTTTTGTTTGAAAAAATTGAAAAACAATTATTGAAAAGAATATAAATTGCTATCGATTCCAAATATTTCAATTTGATCCCCAGAAGTTGATGTTTCTGTTGTACAATGAGCAATTATACGATGTTGTTGATTTGAAAAATCCACTGGTTTGCTAGGAGACGTCATATTGTTTGTTTGGTTATTGAAAGAAGTACTTTGAAATGGTGAGGCAATATTATGTGCAGTTAGTGTCATATTTTCTGTATTATTGAAGGAACTGGATGAGCTGGTACTTTGATGTGGCGAAGCAATAGAAACATTTTGTTGATTAGAAAGATAGAAAGCTTTCATCTCCAAATCCGAGAGTAATGCACTGATTTTTGCTTTTGCTTCGATTTGAAGGACTGGTGGCAGTCTTCTAGTAGTTGCTTCCATAGCGATGAAAAATGCTCCAATGTGGTCACTAGCTGTGTGTTCTAACTTGGCTTTTTTAGAATCTAAATAGTTTTGAAGAACTTGAGCTGTCGTTGGTTGTTGAGATGTTTTATTATTATTTTTACTATGTGAATTGCTGCCAAGAGATGCGGATATAGTAGAAGCAGGTGATGGGTGTGCATATGATGAAGTACTTGGGAGTGGTGATGGGACCTCATATGAAGAATTACTTGGGAATGGCGACTCAACTGAACCTTCTAAAAATTGATTGGTTTCATCATCATTTGTTATGTTTATGCTGCAGTCTTTATCATGAGAATCAGTTAAATTTCCAATATCCAAGTTTGACTTTTGAGTCCTTTCTTTCATATGTGGTAATAAAAATGACAACGTGTCTTCAAACCTCCATTTAACACGAGTCTCTGCACCCTGACCACTTACGGTTTTTTTTTTAACAACGTTTCGTCGAAACTGGTCACGTAGACTGGTCCATCTTTTTTTGCATTCCGAGACTAAAAAGTCACAAATGTAAGATAATTATTAATATTTATTCAAGACTGCAAAAGTTAACTATATTTTTTTACTCAGTTATAGTTATGTTAGCTATTATTTTTCAATTAAATTAATTGACATTATACGAGCACATACATATTTTTTTTTATTTTTGTATCTAAGGACAAAATTTGGAACAGTAATAGTAGGTTTGGGGTAACAAAGTGAATGTATATTGTACTTTGGGTGGTTAAAAGTAAAAAATGTTCAGTATTTTTCAAATTCGACAGAAAAAACACTGTAAAAAATTATGGAAAAACGGGAATTTTAGTAAAAAAAGTAAATGATGTGTGTTTTTATATTTTAGATTCTGAGTGAAACGATGAATGTATTGATTTTACAATGATGTGTGTTTTTTTTTTAATTTTTTTAATTTTTAATTTTTTTATTTATTTTTTTTGTGTCTGTGTACACGATAAGTAGTCGAAATAATGCTTCGATTTTCGACTTCAGTATCTTGTTCGATTGGAAAGTGAATATCGTTGGTGCATTGGGGAGGTCAAAATTTAAAATTCCCAGTACTTTTCAAAAGCGCCAAGAAAAACAAAAGAAAAATTAAGGAAAAACGGGAATTTTTACGCAAAATCGATTTTTCAGAAAATTGAATTTGGTTTTTGGTGTAACTCTAAAACAAATGAACGTATATACATGACATTTTCACTGGTTGTTTATATTTGCATTTTCTATACACGATAACATTTTCAAAATATTTTGATTTATTTTGAACTGTTTAGGGACATTTTCATTTTCCATTTTTTTTTTTAGTTTTTTTTTCTAAAAATATCAATAAACTTTTATTTGTTTGTTGCAAAAGCTTGAAAATTTAATAGAAGGCTCCTAATATATTGTTTCAAAGGCAGATGAAAAATATTAAAAATCCTTAGTCACAATTTTTTTTTATAAGCATTTTAAGTTCAAAAATTGACAAAATATGGAAAAATCACGAAAATTAGCAAATTATTTTGAGTTAAGAATTCGTAAAAATTTTTCTTATTAAATCTAAGATTTTATAATGTAATACAAGATTCCTTATAAGATTATCTACCTTTATCAAAAAAAAAATGTCTATAAGAAAGTCAAATTAAATTTTTATGAGCGTTTGAAATTCAAATTTTTACAATATTGGATATTCACTCGATTTCTCATGTAGCGATTTCTTTATTTTGTTGTAATTCAAAAACGAATAACTGTAGATACATGGAAATTTCACTAAATGTTTATATTAGCATTTACTATACCCAATACAGTTTTGAAAATATTTTGAATCTTTTTGGGCTGTTTTCAAAAATATTAAAAATACATAGGCACAGTTTTTTTTTATAAGCATTTAAAGATCGAATTTTGACAAAATTTATCAAAATCTCGAAAATTATCAATCATTGTAATTAATAAATTATAAAATGTTCAGTTTTTATAGCTAAGGATTGCAAATTCAAAACAAAGGTTCTCATAAATAGTTCATACTGTAACCAAAAAATCTAAAAAATACAGTAGCACAGTTTATTTTTATAGTCATTTTAAGTTCAAATTTTGACGAAATTACATAATAAAAAACCTAGAATAACTATTTTAGTTATTTTGTTGTGATTGTATAATATTATTCGTGGGTACTTGAAATGTAAGGTATAAAATTAATAAAAGTATACAATAATATAATATGTACAATTATATAAAAATAATAATAATAAAATACAACAATAATAATTTTTTTTTACTATTATTTGAAAAAATATCATTCCAAAATCTACACAGGGAATAACTTTCAAACTATTTTGACTTAATTTTTGCAGATTTTTAGGTTACGGAGACTCTTTTGCAACTATTTCGTTTAGCAATCGAATTGGCGAGTCTACAGTTCGTAAAATAATTTATGATACATGTGGAGCCATATGGGAAGTTTTGCAACCTATCTATATGCCCCAACCGACTGTGGAACAATGGCAACGAGTTGAAGAAAAATTTTGGCGAATCTGGAACTATCCGAATTGCATAGGTGCATTGGACGGCATTGCGTAATTGAAAAACCACCAAAAACAGGCTCCATGTACTTTAATTATAAAAAAGAATTCAGCATTGTATTGTTAGCTCTTGTTGATGCAGATTATAAGTTTATAACTGTTGATGTTGGGGCTTACGGGAGAAACAGTGATGGTGGAATTTTTAGATCATCATCTTTGGGACAAGCCCTTGCTAATGGGACTTTAAATATCCCCCCACCAAAATCGTTACCACTTTCAGACGTAATCGTCCCTCATGTGATCGTTTGCGATGAAGCATTTCCTCTCACTAAAAATACAATGAGACCGTTTCCAGGGAACGCACTTGAAAATAATCGAGACAATAAGGTCTACAACTACCGCCATTGCAGAGCTAGAAGAGTAGTTGAAAATGCATTCGGTATATTGGCAAAAAAATTTAAAATTTATAACAGAAAATTCAACTTAAAACCAGAGAACATGGACCCAGTTTTATTGGCGACGACAGTGTTGCATAATTTTTTGCGGAATGATAAATGTTATTGGCAACCAGGAGAATTGGAGGATACAAATACTCCAGAAGGGTTGAACAACTTTACAAGAGTTGGAGGAAATAATCCAAGAGAAACATTTATTATAAGAGAAAACTTCAAACAGTTTTTCGTGTCAGATGGTTCAGTACCGTGGCAGTGGGAGAAAGCGTTTACAACCCGAAGTAATCATTGAAAACGAATATTACCTATACTAAAATTAAATTAAAATTAAATATTTTATAGAATGATATTATTAAGTAGATTAGGTTGTAGGTATTGTTTTTAAAATAAATTATATACAGCAGTTTTTTTAATCATTTTTAAAAAGGTAAAACATAATTATTAAATATTTTTTTTTATATTAATATAATTTTGGTATGTGTGTACACAAATTTATTTTTAGTTAAGTCTTACAGCATTTTAACTATGTAGAAATATTATAAAATGTTCAAATGTTCAATGAAAATAAATTATACTTACCAGAACTTCCCACTGTCTTTGCTACTTCTTCCCATGCATTCTTTAGCAATCGCATATCAGCGTGTCCTTTTTCCGTTGGATCATAAATAAAAGCGTATTTGCGAACACACTCAATCAGTATTTCGTCTTCCATTATTTAATAGTGTAATTAAAGTGCTTTAACAACTTTAAACAAAAATACAAATTTGTACCACACAGAGAAAAATGGTCGAAATGCTGACAAGTTGTGTCCGTCGTCCGTCAATTTTGCCCTAAACAGCAATATATCCGTCACCTGACGTTTCCAAGATGCGACGTGTCGATACGTGTCGTAACCTGTGTGCGCCTGTTCATAAGAATTTATAATATGCAAAGCTTTCCGTTCGACGGAAACCGAGACGTGACGTGACGGAACGTAACGAAACGGATCTGGTGTGCGCGCTCCTTAAAACGTTGACCATGTATCATGAATATGTATCATGTATCATGAAGAAATCTTCGAAGGCTTCAAAATTATAGTACTTTTTTTGAAGGTTTTGGTTTTTTCAAAATCGTAATATATCGAGAAAACCTAAACACTTCAATATTGATCGTATCGTCTTGAAATCTTCGAGGTTCAATGCAGTGATACTTCTAGATCAAATTTCTGTTCACAAAAAAACAGCGTCTGGTTTTTAAGTTTGAGAAATTGGCAAAACAAAATTTCAAGCCTTTTTTTTTAATTTCAAATTTTGTTTACAACATTTACCCACTTAATAATATCACAATCAATAGTTTTACCAATTACTTATATTATATATATTATATATATTGGTATAATATGTGTAATCGATGATTTTTTAATTTGAAAAACAATTGACAAGCTTGGAAATGAATCACTTGTCTCCAAGTATCTTAATGTCAATGGTAGCCTTTCATTAAAGGGTATTGCTTTTCGAAACTTCGTATTTTCTTTTCTAATTTTAGGCTCAACTAAAGTGGATAATTGTTTAAATGTATCATATGACATTCTACAGCCGTTTTTAAAATGTTCACCACTTTATTTTCGTAGGTCGTTTAGCAACATAGTTCCACTATACAGTCCTCTGTTACTGTACAACGAAGTCACCCACCAGCAATGTTTTCTTCTTGTCTTTGAAGTTTTTTTTTATTAATGCTTTCATGAGCATAAAACTTGAAGCAGCTAACAACAAATCATCTTCTTCACTTGATGACATTTTAATAATAATTATAAAAATTACAAATATTCAAATTAAATACAAATAAATTTCTTCCTGGTTAAAAGGATTTAAATTTCACTTAAATGTCAACAAATCAACAGTCCTTACTCGACAGCAGCTGTATCGATACTAACTAACTTACTTGCATTATACATTATACATTATTTTAAATTTAAATATAGCATTATTATTATAAAAGAAACTGTGTTTATGAATTCTATTTTTATACCCAATTATCACTGGAGTTCTATAAAAAAATAAAAATCACAACTCATAACAATATGTTGACATGTTATGAAATGAAATGTGAATACAAGTTAGATATTACAATTATTACAATATAGCAGCCCTACCATAAAAATTAATATTATTCATTACGTTTCTACTGTTAGGACGATCAAGTGCTGTTGTTATTTAATAAAAAGGTTTATTCTGTTTATACTGTTGATAGTTTTTTTTATTATATTTCAACAAGTAAAATTTATTTGTAAAAATAAGTCATGGATAGGAGAAGCAGCTCAGTGTGGGCTTATTTTACAATTAAAGACAATATCAATGCTAAGTGTGATATATGCCATACAATTTATTCTTATAAGTCGACACTAACTAATCTAAAAAAACACTTATCTAGTCGTCATTTTATATTTTTAAAACAAGGACAAAGTATAAATGAAGTAAGTAAATTTATAAATTAATATCACATTAAAACAACTTAATTTTTTGATTTAATTAATTATTCATTACTCTTGTTGTTATTAAAACTAGAATCAATCAACTGAATCCAGTATTGATGACCCTAGTAGTAAACATCATACTAACGACAATTCGATAAATTCTTCTTCTATATCATTGCCATCAACTACCTCTATACCAAGTACTTCTCAACAAACTTCATTAATTGATTCAGCTCCATCAAATGCAAATGCAAATGCTTTTTCTCAAATAGTAACTGGTCAAAGCCAAATGCAAGCTGAAAATAAAGCGAAATCTCATAAACGTAAACATCTGTCTATAGCTACATACATTCCAAAAAAAATGACAGTTGATATGAAAAAAGATATAGATCAGTCACAAAAGATAGCCAACCTTTTAAATTAGTTGAGGACAAGGGTTTTAAACAGTTCTTTAAAATGTTGAACCCTAATTATACACTTCCTAATCGCCATTCAATCTCCAAACAATATATTCTAGCCTTGTATGAAAAGCGATTGAGAGAAGTTAAAGAGTTAGTAGTACAGGAAGCAAAACATGTGTGTTTAACAACCGACTGTTGGACATCTCGAAACAACGAAAGTTTTATGGCCATAACAATACATTTTGTTGATTCAAATTTTAGTTTACAGTCGATTCTTATAAGTTGTTCTTCATTTAATGAAAACCATACTGCCATAAATTTGAGTGAACAAATCCAAAAAACTATTGATGAATGGCAACTTGAAGGCAAAATAGAGTTGGCTGTCTCTGACAATGCTACTAATATCAAAAATGCATTAGGTTTACTTAAACATAAACACTGAGGATGCTTTGCTCATACCTTAAATTTGGTTGTTCAATCAGCTCTTACTTTAGAAAACGAACTTATGGATAAAGTTAAGACCATTGTCACATATTTTCGTAGAAATACAGTAGCCAATAATAAACTCAAAACTTATCAAATAAATAATGGGATTGAAGGGGGACATTAGGTTTGCTTGATAAGGCACCTCAAACCTTAAACAGTGATGAATGGTCTATAATAAAAGAATTGTGTACTGTACCTTTTGAAGAGGCTACTACAGCAGTCAGTGGTGAATCATACATGACTGCATCTATAGTCATAGTATTAACTCAAGGATTATTAAATGCATGCAAAAAGTTGCATACAGTGGAATTTAATGAAAGGACACTGATGATTATCAAACAACTATCAGATAACATGGAAAATCGAGACGCATGGAAAAATGTTGATAAAAGTAAAACATTATGTAGGTGTACTTTTTTGGATCCAAGTTTCAAAAACATTCCATTTAATAATAATAATTCACTATCTGAAACAACAAAAAATGAAATAATTGAAAAAACTGCAAATATCATTTATTTAGAAAGATCGAATCAACTGGATGAACAAAATCAAGACCAACCTGATTATATAAGTATAGACACCCCATCCACATCAAATAGCCCATCGATTTGGGAAACTATTGACACGAGCATAGCCAAATTAATACCTTCAGGTACATCTAAGTCGCGTGCAATAATTGAGGTACAAAGGTACCTAGAAGATGGTATGCTAAAAAGAAATTTGGATCCGCTTAAATGGTGGCAAGAACATAAGTATAACTATCCATACTTACATATTTTGGCTAAGCAAACTTTATGTTGCCTTGGTACTTCAGTTCCTTGTGAACGTATTTTTTCGAAAGCAGGACTTATTTTGAACGATCGGCGTTGTCGACTTAAAAGTGAAAAAGTAGAAATGTTGTTGTTTTTAAATTATAATTCAACATGAAATTATTTGAGTAAATATTATGATGAATTTAAATGTATTTTTATTATCTAAACAATATGTATAACAGAAATTGAGGTCTTAAATTAAAATGTACTTAATTATTTTATATTTTTAGTTATAAAATATTAGTCTATATCAAAGCTTATTTATTCTGTTTATATAATTATTTAATTTAATATTGTAAAGTATAGTATATAGTATTGTATTATAGTATTATATATTATATATTAATATTATATTATACAGTATTCTAAAGTTATTGAATATTCTTACTATGTGTCACGGCTTTAGATAGAATGGTTGCACATCGGGCTATACTACGCAATGTTAGAACGCGGTGTACGAGAGTTCTTATCTAACATACGAAAAAGTGAACTACTACTAACGCTCCCGGTGGTTGTTAATTGGAACCACGGCTTTAGATAGAAATATCTAAATGAAAATCTGCATTTGAAATGGGAATGTGCCGAACATAGAATTGAAATATTCTCTAATATTTTTGTTTTATTCATAACTATGCGGATGAGGCAGCATAGCTACTCTAAAAATATTGAGTGTAAAAAATTAAATCGTTCAAAAAAAAAATTGTCAAAATTAGTTACTACTTAAATTAACCTTTTTAAAATTAAGTGTTAATACTTATGGATTAAGAAATAAATTAAACAAAAAAATATATTTAGTCTTGAATTTATATTATATTAATTTAATATGTTTTTCTTTTTGCTTGTTAGAGAATTTGGAATATTATAACTATACCAGTAAAATCCAAAAAAAGTATAATATTACAGTATATATGTATACCTATATTTAGAATAAAAAATATTAATTTTTACAATAGGCACTACGCACAAATTATGTGGATTTAAAAAAAAATTTGAGACGGGGTTATTGTGTATTTTGAAGTGACCATGCATAACATTGATGGATCTTCATAGCAGTTATTTTGTTGATGTTTTTTGTTAATTCACACTTAATTTTAATAGTTTGATATTTGTAATTAAAAATGTTGACATACCTAGTGGATAGCCTATTCTTTGTATTTTAGATTCTGAGCGGAGCGATGAATGTATTGGTTTTACAATGATGTATGGTTTTATATTTTTTTTTTATATTTTTTTTTTATATTTTTGTGTCTGTCATCACGTTTTAGGACAGTAAAAGTGCTTGGATTTTCTTCATCAGTAGCTTTTCTGATAGGAAAGTGAATCTAGTTGGTACTTTGGGGGGTCAAAAGTATAAATTTCCCAGTAGTTTTCACAAGCGCCGGGAAAAACAACATAAAAATTAAGGAAAAACGGGAATTTTTACGCAAAATTGGTTTTCCAAAAAATCGATTTTGGTTATTGGTGTAACTCTAAAACAAATGAACGTATATACATGCAATTTTCACTGGTTGTTTATAATTGCATTTTCTATACACGATAACATTTTCAAAATATTTTGATTTATTTTGAACTGTTTAGGGACATTTTCATTTTCCATTTTTTTTTAGTTTTTTTTCTAAAAACATCAATAAAATTTTATTTGTTGGTTGCGAAAGCTTGAAAATTTAATAGAAGGCTCCTAATATGTTTTTTCAAAGGCAGATAAAAAATATTAAAAATCCTTAGTCACAATTTTTTTTTATAAGCATTTAAAGTTCAAAAATTGACAAAATATGGAAAACTCACGAAAATTAGCAAATTATTTTGAGTTAAGAATTCGTAAAAATTTTTCTTTTTAAATCTAAGATTTTAAAATGAAACACAAGATTCCTTATAAGATTATCTACCTTTATCAATAAAAAAATCTCTACCGGACAGTCAAGTTAAATTTTTATGAGCGTTTGAAATTCAAATTTTTACAACATTGGATATTCACTCGATTACTCATGTAGCGATTTCTTTATTTTGTTGCAATTCAAAAACGAACAACTGTAGATACATGAAAATTTCACTGAATATTTAAATTAGCATTTTCTATACACCATACAATTTTGAAAATATTTTGACTCTTTTTGAGCTGTTTATGGACATATACAGCTTTCAATTTTTTTAGTTTTTTTTTCTATAAATATCAATAAAGTTTTATCCGTTGGGCCAAAAAGTGTAAAAATTTAATACAAGGCTCCTGATATATTGTTACAATATCAGTTGAAAAATATTAAAAATACATAGGCACGATTTTTTTTTATAAGCATTTAAAGTTGGAATTTTGACAAAATTTATCAAAATCTCGAAAATTATCAATCGTTGGAATTAAAAAATTATAAAATGTTCAGTTTTTATAACTAAGAGTTGAAAATTTAAAACAAAGATTCTCTTAAATAATTCATACTGTAACCAAAAAATCTAAAAAATATATAAACACACTTATTTTTTACAGACATTTTAATTTCAAATTTAGACAAAATTTCATATTTAAACCAAGAATTACGATTTTAGTTATTTAGTTGTGATTGAATAATATTATTCGTGGGTACTTGAAACTTCTAAAGTGTACTATTATATATCTATGATAGTATCACGGTTTTTGTTGATGTATAACGCGTTATAAGTATCTAATGGATATTGTGATATGATTAGTTTGGAATTTATTATAGGTACCTATTATAGGTCAATTTTTTGTTTAATACCATATATATGTATATAATATGTCTTATACATAGACTGACATACTGTCACCGCTCAGAATCGTTTTTCTTATACAATGATATTATATCATTGAATTCAAATTTAATACCATCCATTATACAGTGACCCACTTGTAACCTACTGTACAGCAGAGCGACACCCACTTGCCCACCTTTTTAATTTCATAATTTGATGAGTTTGAACCTCTAATGGATTATCGCCTATCGGATTATACTAATTAGTACTTTTTGAATACAACAATATAAAATAAGATTACAATTTTGATGATGTATATGTAAGCAACTAGATAGCGGTGTAACGTAACTTTTAACAGATATCTGATAAGAACAATTGGTGATCACAAAATAATGACTCGTTGTGCAGCCATTCTATCTAAAGCCGTGCTATGTGTTGTAAACATATTAAATATTGTTATTAATGTTATTTTATAACAATGTTATTTTATTTTCATTTATAAAATATGTTCAATTATTTAACGATTATATAAAATAAAAATATAGTGAATATTAAAATAATATTAAAACAATTCTTATATTAATGGTACTTTTTATTTTTTATACTTACTCATATTTTGGTAAAACTCGAAAATACTAAAATAGTAATTTGTAAGTTAGCAGCTATTTAATATTAAAATTATAAAAATAATAACATGTTATAGAACATTAAAGTAGGTACTAATACTTATATAAGTATAATCAAGTTGACAAGTTATAATCTCGTTAAAATATCTTAAATCGTATAATAACAGTTGATCAGTAAAGTTGTTGTACATTGGTAACTTGTTCTTTGTAGTATAACAACCATAGAGTAATATAGAGAGACCGTTTACCTATACTGCCTGTATGACAGGTTGAAGCGCAGTTGGCCTCCCTTTTGCAGGGTTTCCATTTACAAAGAACAAAAAAATGTACAACTAAAACTTAAAGTCAACATGTTTGACATAACTATTAAGTGATAATTGAATAACTGATAATGTTTATTGTTATTTGTTTACGGTTTACTTGATTACCTGATTACCTCTTGTTAATTGTTTTATGTTTATTATTTACCCACTTGAGCTAGTACGTACTACGTCCTAATTTGTATTTTGTATTTTATTGAAAAAAAAACAATTAATTCAGTGGATTTTTGTTTCATTTCAATTGTTTTTATTAAAAAATTACTCTATGATAACAACTTTGCTATTATCTGTTATCGGTGTTATCGGAACAGCACATCAGGGAAATAACATTAGAAAAAAAAATATTAGTAACTGTTATTTTTTCATTTGAGTAACAGCCTGTTACTGCTACTCGTTGGATAACTGTTATAAATCACAGTTGCTGTTATTTTATACCATGACTATCTTCTATACACCTGCCAGTGCGTCGTCAGAATCGGAGCAGTACACAAGACCTACGCCATTCAACGTCGAAGACACACACATTTTCATTCTATTCTTCTCGAGCGAATGACTTTCTATCGTAAGTTATTTATTATTTAAAATAAAATTTAAATATTGAGTTAATTTAATACACATGTATGGTCTTATTGGTTTAAAATGCACATTCTATGATTATCTAAAACAAACAAATCATCTTATTATTTATGCTCTGATTATACAAAAATCTTTCTATGACATACACAATACATATTTACATTACTTCCTTGAAAGAACACAATTCAATATCTCGTTTATTCTGCGTGTTTGATTTATAATATATTTACGATACAATATTAAGAGTACGCCACACGGGCGAAAATATCGTACAAAATCATGCCAATTTTGTTCCAATAGTCCTCAATGGTTTAAGAGTAAAAAAGGTGCCTTAATTAAAAGTTGTAGAGGAGAGTTATATCGAGGGACATGTAAGACTCGATTTTTGATATTTACATTTTTATACCAATTATTCACAAGTAAAAAAGTGAAAACGCAAAACGATTTTGCGAATGAAATATCGAAAATCGAGTATTATACGTCACCCGATATAACTCTTCCCTACAACTTTTAATTAAGGTGTTTTGCTCTGAAACCATTCTGTATAGGCCGTATTATTGGAACAAAATTGGCATGTTACACAATAAAAAAAATTTAATTACGGCTGTCATTGCCGGCTCTCGTTTCTAGCGGCATCGTTTGTCCCCTCCTAGCTCCAACATCCAAGCGAGCCGGCCGCCTAAAGGTCAAAACCGGTCTGTTATCGGCGGTCCGTATACCAAATCGGTGTATACCGGTATAACAAGACATTTTTAGGTACAAAATAATATATATTAATAATATCCCCTCCGTATTTAAATTTAGTTATCACTTGATTAGTTAAAACTGATAACAGATAACGTTAAGAAAAATTAAGAAATGAGGGGATTACACATTTATACCGGTACAAC